ACTTGACTTGTTCTTCACGGTGGGGAGGACGATCTCCCTCCAGGGCTCAGTGACCTCACATTCTGTCTCCTCAATCTGTGGGCTCTATTTCCCATAATCCTTCCCAATTTGGAAAAAGAACGGGGTCTGTATTGGAACTTAACTCTGACAAAGCAGACACCTGGGTTTCAGTCTGGACTCGGCTGGTGAAGAGCTCCAAGGCCGAGGACAAACGCAAGGCGGGCATGGCCTCCTTCCAGGTAGTGAGCACAGGGACGCGGGCTGCGCCTGCAATGCAGGTGAGAGCGTGACTCCAGTGGCCCGAGAGCCAGATGGAGAGGCGGCCCCCGACAGGCCGGAGCAGCTCCTCACGGTGGGCACGCAGCCCCCACAGAGACAGCAGCAGGGGAGGACAGCGTGCAGGAAGTAGCGGCAGCGATGACCCAGAGCCGTGGACCGAGCTGGCACCTTCTGGGTCTCCTGCTCCGCACAATGGGGCCAGTATAGACACAGCCAAGCGAGAGCAGAAGTCAGGCTTTGTGACGACGTGCAGGAGCCGAGATGGAGGGGACCCCCCGCAGGTGGTCTGCGGCCAGAGCTTCCCGGAGTTCCTTCCTAGGCAAGGAGGACAGCATGACCATGTGATGCACGCTGTCACCCAGGACCCCCCGGGGCTGCGAGCAGAGACGGCTGCAAGGAGGGTGATTCCTGGACCGTTCAAAACACAGCGGCTGAACTCCACCCAGGACAGAACCTCACGTCGCTGAGGTTTTCTTCAGGGAGCGCTGCTGGCTTAACGGGAAGACACTGTGCTATAAACCCAAAGGTATGTGGTTTGAGTCCATCAGCAGCTCCGTCTAAGAAATACGGGCATCTCCTCCCAGGTGATTTACTGCCTCTGATAAACCCTCTGGAGGTCAGTTCTGAGTCAACGTTCAACAAGCTTCTCTCTCAGGAGCTCTGGGGACGTCGTCTGTAGGGAGCTGCGGTGTTAGACCAAAGCCAGCACCTTGTTGGCGGTCTGAGGCCCCAGCAGCTCCGCGGGAGGAAGATGGCCACGTCCCCCCAACACACAGCCTCAGAGACGGGCTGCAGCTCATCGGGGACAGGCTTCCCTCAACGGTGCGGTTTCAAAGAATGCCGCTTTAACACGGGTTCACCTCGGGCTAATCTTAAAAATTGGGGATTTTTCTGGTCCACGTTTAAGAGTTCTGGGCACAAGTCCTGTATCAGAGTGTGTTTTAGATGCATTTTTCTCCTAATCTGTGACTTGTTTTTTTAACAGTGTCTTGTGCAGCACAAAGGTCTCGCACATCACGACACTTCATCAGTTTCCTTGTTTAAGGCCCAGGCCGTTGGTGTATCTTAGAGTGCCTGGGCCATTGGTGTATCTAGAGTGCCCATGGTCATCGGCGTATCTAGAGTGCCCATGGCCGTTGGTGTATCTAGAGTGCCCATGGTCACTGGAATATCTAGAGTCATCAGCAGAGCCCGGCGGCCCTAGATTTTGACCCCGAATGGCTCCTTGCACTTGCTCTTCCAGGGTCACGTGCCGGTGTGTGTCCGGGCCCCTGTGGTTCGAGGACCGTGGCCGAGCAGTGTGCATGCGGGAATGCAGACTCAAGATCCCAGCCCTCATACCAGGATGGAGGCTTGGGAAGAGGCGACAGGGGGCAAGCGGCCGGGATCCAAAGAACGCTTTGGAAACGCTCGAAAGAAAGCAAAGAGGGAACCAAAAACACCTGTCAGGAAGAGCTGCTGGGTGGTGCCCGCACACGGAGCTCCGCTGCTGAGAATGCATGTGCGGAAGTAAATGGACACGGTTCTCTTGGTTACATACATGTACATGGAAACATACACCAGACCGCAGAGTTTATGCCTCGAGACATAGAAAGGGAAGGAAAATCTCAAAGACCGAGTCTAAACGGAGTTCTAACAGAACAGCATTACAGAACTCTTGTCAAGCGATCAAACAGACTGGGTCGACCAGCAGATTATTTAGTCTCTTGATTTCTTTCTTTTTTTTTAAATTTTTGCGTGAGTATACCATCAAATCAGATCTGACTGGTACAGGAGGAGATTGTCCCTCCTTTTCCCGGCAGAGCATCTGCTGGATTCGAACCGTGTGCCTCTGGGATTGTAGTTGCAGCTCCTTGCCACTAGGCCACCAGAGCTCCCCTAGTCTCTTGATTTCTATGTGATGTTCCTGGGCGATTCTGCTGTTGGTTTGGCATTTGTAGTTTCGAGGTATCTGTGACTGACTACCCAGCAAGCCTGGTAAAGAACAAGGGGACGGCAGGGGAACCTGTCTGCAGAAAAGACATGCAAGAGTCCCACAAGGACTTGGCACAGCAGAGGACACCTTGTGCCAACATCCCTGGCCTTGTCTGCAGCACTAGCCCAGTTCCCGATCCCTCACAAGCTGGTCCTTGTAGGGGGATGGCACACACGGACAGGAGGTGAGATATACCTTGTAGATGGTGGGTTTTTCATACGTGGGCAGCCAGCAGGTGACAGGACAGCTCACAATCTGCAGAGATTCAGTAATGGCATGAGCTGGCAGGTGTACCATTGGCAGGTGTTAAGGAGGGAGGGAGGGTTTACTGTGTGTGTAAACACACGCTGAGAGGGAGCAGAGATGCGAGTCGTGACTGACGCCCCATCAGCATGGCCTGCTGGGCCGAGGGGCGCCACATCTGCTGGATGGAGGAGCACCCTGTCGGGCCTCCAACAGTAGCAGTCACTATTCTCAGCCATGGCCAGACACCCCCCTGGACTTTCTATCCTGCCCGCCATCTCCTCATTCTGCCAACACATCTCAATCGTAGATCACCTGCCCTGGCAGATTCTGCTTCTCCAGGAAAGGCTGAGAGATCCGTCAGCCCTGGGTGCTCTGTGTCGAGGAAGCTCGCCAGGTCTCAGTGTGTCCTGCCAACATCAATTCTCCTGGGTCACAACCACCCCGTTTTGCTGGTGAACAAAAGTTCCTGAAGCAAAGGAATGCACATAGAGCAGCGGGGGGTCCCCTAGATGTCCAGCCAACAGCTGGGCAAAGAGGCTATGTGCACCATGTGGAGTCTGGCTCTGACATGCACTTGAACATGTAGGTGATGATATCCTTACAAAGAAACAATAAAGGAGAAAAAGCCAATGTTCTCTGAGCACAGCTGTTCGGAGAGCTCTCGCTGGCCAAGGTAACTCCAAGTGTATCATTACGCACAGTCACCTTTAATTCTTGGTTTAAATGTCTATCAGACTCGATTTGTTCTTTTCTGTAGAAAAGAGCACGTCTGGTAGACCACCACATCTGGTGGACCGGTCCCTGTGACAAGGACGGCCTCCACATTCTTCCCATCCGCCTCTCAGCGGATTTCCCACCACAGAGATGCACCCACAACTTGACCGCTACTCTGCTAATGAGAACATGGGTAACACGTTTGTGTCGCGGCCCTTACACACAGGCCAGTCCAGAGAAGGACATCACGCTTGGGGAAGGGAAGGGTCAGCAAAGACCCCCAAGGAGATGAGCGGCCAGGATGGGCAGTGGGTGAGGATGGTGCCAGCGCAGGCGGGGTGTGCCGTGTGCGGGTCACCGTGGGGTGAGGCTGACCCACGGCAGGCTGCTCCCCACGAAAGAAAGCAATGAGTTGGCAGATCTCCCACCCAATTTGGTGAACTCCAGGCTTCAGGACATGCGATCTGTGTTTCAAACCCAAGAGAACCATTGCTTTGTATGCTCATCCAAGAGGTCACAGGGTTCAGAGCAGAAAGAAGGCTTTAAAAACAGAACTGTCCATCCTGTGGATGGGAACCACAACATGGCAGGAGGGGTGAAGTGAGGGCACAGCCCCAGAAATGCAGAGCAGACTTGGGGTGGGGACTGCCTGCTCCCAGAGGCCGAGCGGCAGGCTGGGCAGAGGGCGGAAGGGGCCAAGACATGTCCTGAAATGTGTCCCGGGACCTTCCGACGGGCACACTTCTGACTCACATCTAGGTATCCATTTGCTCTGAGAGTGTTGAACGGGCACTGGGAGGCCGGGAGTGTAAGAAGATGACGTAGAAGGGGAACCACAGTGAGGCTCCTCCAGGCGGCGGGGGGAAGGAGCCGGTGTGGGTGGCAATTTACACACACACACACGCACGCACGCACGTGGGCTCTGCTGCACTAGTGGGTAGGGTGTTTCACTGTCAACTCAAAGGCAGGCGGCTGAAATGAGCTGCTTTGAGGGAGAACGATGGGCAATCTCCTCCCACACGATTTACTGAACATATGAGGACCGCCAAGAGAACAACACAGGGATCTGTCCTGGAGAGGCTGAAACCAGGCTGTTCCTCCAGGCTAGGAGTTTGGGCATGTGACCAGGAGGGACCAGTCCTTGGAGAAGCACATCATGCTTGGAAGGGTGGAGGGACAGTGCAGGAGAGGAAGACCATGAATGAGATGGACTGACACTAATTCGAGGAACGGGGCAGGTGTGTTGGAGTCAGTACGACTGGCTCTGGAAAAAGAGTTCAGAGCTATCATACATAGGGTTGCTATGAGTTGCAAGTGACTCAACAGCACGTAACGTTAGACAGAGTTGTTGTTGTGTGCTGTCAAGTCCGAAATGAACCACAGGTGACCCTCCCGTGGGATTTCAGAGGCAGTTAACCACATAGGAAGAGACTGCTCCTCCCCTGTGGAGCAGCTAGAGGATTCGAACTGCGTGCTTTCAGGATTGCAGTGCAGCTCCTTACCGCTATACATGCACTATCCCTGCTTTAGCTTAATGCTTGGAGAATGTTTAGATTTTCAGAGTTTTCGCAGCTCTCTGGTTCATGTTCCCGAGCACCTACACATGGCTGTGCCCCCCTGAAGCAGCTTCCGCGTCGTCATGAGCCTGGCTGTCATCTGAGACCAGGCAAATATTCCCAGATGAACGGGAAGCACCCTGATTGACAGGAGGCTCCCCGGAAACCAGAGAGAAAAGGAGAGAACCCCTCGGGTGCAGAAACCCACAGGACCTTAGTGTCTTACTCACTTTTCTATCAAATCCAGCGTGACTCCGGGCACCAGGCTGACGCACTTCTGCATGCAGAACCTGTAGAGAGGAGAGGAGAGCGAGTCACACTGGTGGAAAATTCCACAGGCGTGCAGCGCGGCGCCAGCTGAGAGAAGCCCGAGTCCGCGGCGGGATGGGGACTGCCAGGGGAGGCATTAAGCCGTGATTATCATAATTCTGGCAGCTCTGGGGTTTATGAGGAAAAACCTCCTGGCCAGCTCGTCGCAGAGGCTACAGGCTGCAACAATAGGTTTTCAGCAGGACGGAAAGGCCTGAGTTTGCAGCCACATAATGGATGGTCCCTGGAGAGATTGGCTGAGCTGCTTCTTAACAAAGCAACGGGCAGATTGCACTTGTCATTTTTGTTTTTGTTCCTTATGAAAGTGAGCTGCAGAGAGGGACAAGGAACGAATGAAGAACCTCAAGGCTTAATAAAAGAAGCGTGTGGGCAAAGAGAAAAGCAAAGGCAGGGGCATCACCTTAAATCCTGAGACGACCAACTGTTAAGTGCTAGCTGCTGTACACGACAGAGCACAGTGGCCCCAGGGTTTCAGAGCAGACGCTGGATCGTTCTCCACTTAGTGCCAGGGAGTTTGAACCACCAACCTTCCAGCTGCCCAACCAACCTTGTGGTTGTGGGTTTTGGTCAGATCATCCTGTGCGGAGCTGAGTGGCAGCTCCTCTGAAGCCAGCCTCGAGGGCCGGGGCAGGAGGGTGGGGACGTGGCCTGGTCCCTGATCCCGTGTGACCTCAGGAGGTTCCCCTCTCACCGTTGAGGTCACCAGCACACAGCAGGGCAGAGTGTAACGTGGGGTCAAAGTGCCCTCAGCGTGAGAAATGGGAACTGTCTGACTCAATGCTCTTAAGAATGAGAACACCCCAGAAGACCCGCACACAGCAAGGATGAACAGTCTCCACACTGTCCGAGGACCCTGGTGGGAAAGGAGCCATGAGGAGCGCCAGAGAAGGACGGGGAGCGTGCGCACAGGACAGGGTTTGGTGCAAGGGCTGCATGGCCAGATGAGGACCGCGGGCACCTCCACCTGCCAGGGGCTCATGCTGGGTAGGATGTGCTGGGTGCTCCAGGCGCCTCTACTTGTCCTGCGCCACGTTGGCACTGCCAGCCACCCAGACTGCCTGTGCCCAGGAGACATCCACGCTAACAGCGCCCTCGATGGCTAAGGGCCATCTGCAACGAGGCATTTCCCAGAAGGAGTTCGGATCCTCTGTGAGCAGCACTGTCTGTTTTGTTTGCCTCTTTATCTATAATGCATGTATCGATCGGGCGTTCTGGTTTCCAGTAACGACAGAACAATCTGTGCAGGACTAACACGCTCGCCAATAACCGTAACGAGCTTGGACAATCAATAACAAGCCACCAAAGGGCAGGAGGGCAGCCAGGCCCCAGAGGACATGGCCTTGTGGAGGGGTCTACACTGACCCAAGGGGCTGTTCACACAGAGACAGGGACAGGCTCAGACAGAAATGGCAATCCCGGCCTGGGAAGGGCACAGAAGGGGAGGCCTCGGGACCTGCAAGCTAGCAACCCTGAGACCTCGACAGACTCCTGGTCTGTCCGTAGTGAGAAGGGGCACCCATGTGTGCATGTGTCTGTGAAGCCCCGTGTGTGTGTGTCTGTGAAGCTGTGTGAGTGTGAAGCCCCATGTGTGTGTTCCTCTGTGTGTGTGTGTGTGAAGCCTCATGAGGAGGCAGGAACGGCCTTGAGCTTTCTACTGAAACCCCAAGAGGCTAGGCCTCATTAAGATTTCAGGATTGAAGCTTTTTCCTGTAGGTGACCAAAATGCCGTTAAGACTGAGGAAGACCTGGGAACTCGGGGCCCCGTGAGCCACGGCTGCAGTGAGAGGCACTGGAAGCACCTGGAGGCCGAGGTGATGCTGGCGGCTTGCGTCACCACAGGATCAACTACCATCCAGGTGATTTTGGAGAGGTGGGGATGAGACATTATCACCTGACGAGGAATCAGAGCTTCTGCTCAACTGTCAACCTTGACAAATGATGGACCTTGGTCAGTGAGCAGAAAAGGGTAAATGCTGCAAAGAACCAGACTGGAGCTGCTCCCATCACTGATGGGGTTCGAGCGGGTTACTACAAAATTTTCGGGAAGGGAAAGCTCCCAAAGCAACCAGTCATTGTGAAGCCAAATTCTTCAGCAGAAGAGCTGAGAAGATTAAGGGTGTTAGGGGTGCTGTCCTGGTGGCTTGAGGCTGTGTTAAGTACATGGAAGTTGGTTAATGAAATGTTTTTTCTTACAAAAAAAACCCCAAAACAAAAAGACTTCAGGATTGAAATAAAGCCAGCAGGAAGCAGCTCTTCGGCCCCAGTTCCTGAGACCAGGCTCTGCCCCGTGGTGCACAGTCCTCTCACTCCCTGCTGACCCTCCAGCGGCCCCGAGGCTCCGAGTCACGCAGGTTAAGCCACCAGATGATCTGACCCACCAGAGGCAGGACTAGCAGATCTCTTCTGCCTGGGCCTCCTGAGGTCCCTAACACCGGGAGAAAACTGGTCAAAAGGAATGCTGCAGTTGGCCAGGCTCGGGGATTCACGGACAAGGACTTTAAAGCCGGCAGAGGCCGGGGAAGACCAAATGGCTTTCCAGTCCTCAAACCTGCCTCACTGTCATACTGTGTGTCACATTCAGCAGCTAATTCCTACTCAGTGCTCACTACCTGGCAGGGTTTAGTCAGAAAGTGTGTGCATCATATTGAGAACACTCTGAGGTCCCATCAGACATTTCACAAATGAAGAAAACCTGCAAACTGGCCACACTGTTGTGAAATGAAAGACTGTCAAAGAAAACTCTGGAATTCCAGTTCTCAGAAGGAGCTAATCACATTTTAAAAGATAAATATCAGATTAACACAAACACAAGAAAATACACGAATCACATTCCCAACATCTAAAGATGCCCCATGCGGCTCCCAGTGTACCGTCCCTCGTCTCTAGGCAGAGCTCGCTTGCCTCTGCTGTCATCACCTCTCCCTGTCCCTCTCCCCTCCCGCCTTTCCCCTCCTCCCTCTCTACTCCCCCCTCTCTCCACTGGCCCCTCTCTCCACTCCTCCCTCCTCTCCAGTGTCCCCCTCCCCCCTCCCCACTATCACTATTGACCTGCAGGTACTCAGTTAGCAATCAGCTGCCCCACCCACCAATCCTGCTATTGCTGAAGTTTCCCTGATGGATTTTATTGACTTCCTGTTTTCTCACAAAGGCGAAAATCCTACCATACAACACATATTGCCTGCCAGCCTTCTCCCCGGGCTATCTGTACTCCCTCCTTGTCTTCTCAGCAGATTTCTATGGGAGCAGCACTTCAGACCAAAGCAGGCCCATGAATGAAGGTGCCCAGTGAACGAAGATGTCTCATGGACAAAGACACCCCATGAACGAAGACACCCCATGAATGAAGATGCCCCATTAATAAGGACACCCCAAACTCTCCTGATCCGGGAGCAGCACTTCAGACCAAAGCAGGCCCATGAATGAAGGTGCCCAGTGAACGAAGATGTCTCATGGACAAAGACACCCCATGAATGAAGATGCCCCATTAATAAGGACACCCCAAACTCTCCTGATCCATTAACAGGTAATCAGAGCAAGAGGGTGTCTACTGGACTGGCCGGGAACAAAACCCCTCCCGCTGTGCCATGAAGTGTGCGTTCATTTTTAGACCACCCGTGGAAAAGGACATTCTGCTAGGAAAGGTGGACGGACGGCGCAGGAAAGAGAGACCCCGGATGAGACAGGTTGATACAGTGACTGAGGCAACAGGGGTCGCTGTGTCAGAGTTAGTGAGACTGGCTCAGGACAGGGCAGGCTTCAGAGCTGCTGGACACAGGGTCACTATGGGTCTCAGGTGACTCAACAATAACATACTCTGACAGGTTTGGAAACAGGAGTGGCATCACTTCCTCAACAGCATACCTCTGAAATTCTACAAAATTTGATAAATGTTGATAGTTGTAGAGGGGCTTTATGCCTTTTGTTCATAGGGTCGCTATGAATCATGCTCGACTCAAAGGCAATCAACAACAAGGGATTGTTCATTTTTAATTCTATCAAATAGCTTTCCTCTTTTACCTATTCAGACAATGAATGCTGTGACGAGATGGCCTACAGAGAGCCGTGGAGCGTTCCAGGAATGAGTGCCCCGTGGCCTGAGTTTATGATGCTCTTGATACACTGTAGCTGTCCCTTGCTAATGCCCAATTTTGAATCCTGGCATGGCGTTCGTGGACTCTGGTCTGCCTTAGCGGCGCACACATTATATCACTTTAGTTTTGATGCCCCAGGGCAGCAGACTTATCATAAGAACAAAAAGCTCAAACATTGAAGTTTAGAGTAGACCTAAATGATCTTTTCTCACCACTTGTTTTTTTCTCTACTTTAAGAATTATCTGAAGACTAAAAGCATCATTGTTTATTTTCATGATTCTCATTAGTTCTCACCCCTTACTGTTTCCTGTAATACCTGCTCAGCTCTGGACTGGCTTTCATGCCATTTAAATGGACACCTGAATCACCGGATCGCTAACGTTCTCCTGCCACCATCGGTTCTCTCTCCGTGTTGGTCTATCATTTCATCAGCTCAGTACTCATCTCTAATTCCCAAAGAACCCAGGCTTCTGCACACCCACTGCTCACTATCAACACAGCCAGACCACCAAGTGGAAATCCGCATGGCTCTTGGCAGTGAGAGTGTCCCTCTGGGCAGGGCTGGCCATCGTGGCCTTTGAGGTGAGGCAGGCTCCCTTTCCCACCAAAACAACCTTCAGTGGGGTGGGTTGTCTGGGGCTCTGGTGCAGCAGGGGCCCATCACCGTGTCAGTGCTCCGGGCGGGCCTCCATGCAGAACCCAGAGCATCAAAACTCTTCCTTTTAGAAATGGGTTTTGGGGGCGGGTGGTCCCTAGGCCTGCGGCAGGTGCTGCCCAGGTGAAGCTTTGGAGATGGCAGAGACCTCTCTGGATGAGGAGTTCCAAGGTGCTGCCTGACTTGTGCACCCTGACACCATCTGTGCCCCTG